ATCAAGATTATTTAATATCTAATTAATATTATAGATATGTTTCACTAAACATTATTAATAATTTTATATTTATTAAAAACTAATTACCCGTACATAATGTGATTATATAACTTACTTTCATTTATGCAATTGTCGAAAGCTTCAAATATTTTTTCTCCTGGTTGAACTTTTGTTATTCTAGTAAATTCACTATGCATTTTTTCTACGTCAAATTCCGATTCGTTCATCTAATAAGACAAGCATATAAAATATTAATAATTAGATTACATTAGACTATTTCTAAAAACGTATATATATGTACACATACGTATATTTTGTAATAATATGAATATTATTTTGAAATAATATTCTATAATATAATGAATATATAACCACAATAATTTGTAAATAAAATTAATAATTAAAAAATTAATTTTAAATCTAAATGGCTTTAGATGGAAGATGTTATGGGAAAAATTACATTTTTATACAAATAATGTTTTTGTATCTTAATAATAGTATCTTAATTTGTAGCTTCAATATCGTTTTTAATAAAACAAAATAACTACTTACTATTTCTGATTTCTGCGCTAAACATTGTAAAACACAACCATTCTTTTTTATTTTTTCCTGATCTTCGGGTTTATGTCGGTCATTTATTAAATCTTCCGTTGTGAACATGTCATCTAGAATATAAAAAAGTTTGATGAAATATAAATGTTGTATTTACGTAAAGAAAAAGAAAGATTTCGTGTTTGCCTACAAAACGATTGCCTACAGTTTTGTTTGCAACCAACAGTATTACACGTACAGTACAGTGCACACAACAATTATGTATACACAGTCTTGTTGAACACAACATACTGCACAGTACACACACAATCGTATTGTGCACGATCATGTTAAAAATTGAAAATTTATATGGAATTGTACAATGATGGATTTCGCACTGCATGCATTGAGTAAAGAGAGAAGGGGGAAGGGGGAGATAGACTTCGCTTAACTAATGTGGAGTTGTTTAACTTTAAGTGAAAAATTGCAAATTTATGTAAAAACATACAATTATGAATCTCTTTGATTCGCAGTATATGTGTGCAGAATAGTTACACAGTCTTAGCAACACGGTCTCAATAATTTTTTTTATAAATAATCTACTCATATTAATTTAATTACAGTATAAAAACTTGCAATTACAAAATAGCATATAATTACTTTTATTAGAAAGTAATTGATTCTGATTCAAAATTAAACATGAGTTCTATAATTCTGTAGAGAATTACAAAGAAATAAAAATTAATTAAAAACCTTACATTGTGTGTGTTTGTGTGTGTTTGTGTGTGTTTGTGTGAACTTACCATCAGATACGTTAGTTTCAGTTAAGCAAGTAGTATAATTTTCATTGCGAGATCCTATCTTTGAACCAACGGTAAAAGACTAAAATATACGAAATTTTATTTTGCTTATTACTTTAATTAAATTCTTTTTAATACATAAATGCATAGATATTGTTATATGTTAATTATGTACATATATGACAATAATTTAATACACTGTTAAATCTATTGTGTCAAATTGAACTTTATTTAAGTCGCCACTGCTCTTACTTTAATAAATAGTTATTTTTAACAAAAATAATATAATTACTTTTAAATAAAACAATTGAATTTGGATTAAATTTAAACTGTTTCAAATTATTTAACTCTATTGTTTTAGTAAAAAACAACTATTTATTAAGTGGGAGCAGTGGCGACTTAAATAATTCAGTTTAAGAGTTTAAGTTATAGATTTAACAGTGTATAATATTTATAGTTAAGTTGCAAAAGAATTATTACATCTACAAAATATTGTTTTTTTCTTATTAATATTTAATTTTTATAATAGAAAGGTACTTACAACGAGCACAAAAGTGCAAATATAGAATATGATTTTCTTCATTTTATTCACACAATTATTCTACTACCTTTAAACGTACCTACTTGTACATTAACGCAATAAAGCCTAACAGCATCGTATTTATACTCCCTGTTATATGTAAAATAAAAAAATTAGAGGTCGCGAGATCATAGATCAACTAAACATGAAGCAAATACGCAAGAGGAGATATGATAAATCACTAACACAAACTTATTGTTTCAAAGTTACTAAAACGCACGCATATAGTTTTCTTATATATTTGCTAATTCCTTATAAATATTTATATTTTTATTACTTTTAAGTGATACTTCTAATTGTAAGTATTCTCTTTTAATAATAATTGTGGTAGTTAATAAGAGTTTGTGTTTGGTGTATATTCTAAAATTCCCAGTTTCTGTTGATTAATGCATTGTAAATGAAAAATAACTTTAAGAGATAAGCTTATGAAACAGAATTTCCGGGCTGGATGCATAGACATAAGGATGCATTACAAATCTATTTAAAATTTTAAACTTGACTATCTTATCATGAAAATTAAAATAGCTTTATTTGACCTACGTTTTTGTTATTGCCCATAATCATGTACATTAATATATATATAGTGTATGTATATATATATATATATAGAGGAGAGAGAGAGAGAGAGAGAGA